ATAACTTGAGGGTTAGAGAAGTTCAAGGCAGATGGCTCTTGTTAAGAACTGTTGACACTTTGAAAAAAAGACAAGGAAAGCCTGGGGTGAATTATTTTAATGTGACTTGCGAAAGTCAACGATTCTACAATTTAGGCTGAAATGTGAAAGCCAGAAATCCTCTTGACAGACTCTAAAGAGTATCTCATCTCCTGCAACTAAGGGACAGAAACACCTGATGATCAGTCCAGGACTTAATTATATGGAGAGCTGAGTTGCTACAAGTTTGAATTTTCAAACTTATTTATTCTGATACATGAAGGTCAGGGCTCTGGTTGGAACTAAGTGGGTCAAGATGGAGACGTGAGGGTTGATACACTTGGAAATCTTGCACCACCAGCTCCCTTTTAACTGTCTGGGCTGCAGAAGTGACCTGCTCATCCCTTTGAAAGGCTATTCCTCCCCTCTTGCTTGAAAATGATACCAAACTTGCTTTGCAAGACTACATACACCTCTTTCATTATTGCCCCCAATTCTCTTCATGGACATCAGACCAATTATTAGGGTCAAGTGACAGCATAAACTGCTTGAGGAAGTCACTAGGCCAGTTAAAAGAGGGAAAAGTATATACACCAAAAAAGATACAGGGTTTAGCTAATACATACCCAGGAAGGTCTGTAAGAATGTATATTGGTCTAGATCCTGAGGGAGCTGGTCAAGATGGGAAGAACCATAAAGTTGAGTAAGGAAGACTTTATGGAAATGAGAATATCTCCCATTATACAGAATTTAATATCTTTGAATAAATCCCAGAAGATGGTGCTTCCATGCTCACAGGATCACTCTGGATAGTTGAGAACTTTATGGCCCTCAATGAGTGAAAGAGCAAGGTCAAAACTTCGATGGCTGATGCTGGAGGGAGGATCAAAGAGCAGGTCGGAATGGATATCATAGATAAGGCTGGGGAAACCGCCGGCTGATCATGTTCCATGGCAAGGCTTCAAGAAACTACTGTTTACCAAAGTGATAACGAATTACTGATGAGAAGGGCACCCGTGTTTTTAAGGCGCTCGGTGGTTTCTGTGCTCTGAAAGTCAGGGCTAATTGTAGGAGATGTAGCTTTAGAACTGGGATCACTGATTCCAGTGGGGACCATAGGATACTAACACTGTATGGCAAAGAGGATGGGACAGTGGGCACATGACCATGGGATCCAGTGGTCCCCCACCATGAAGCTGCTGGTTTGTCCATTTGATGGTAAATGAACATGAACGGCAGCTGTGGCCAGAGAATGGCTCGGAGTATGGAGGGTCTGGTTTTACCATTTGTGATGGTTTTTGCTATGTCAACTTGGCTCTGGTGAATGACAGTTCCCGGAGTCTCCTTTCTAGTATCTTTCTAGTATGGACCACGAGGCATGTTCTCTCAAAAGACCTAGAGGAGGGATTTTGTAGCATACATACATTTTTTCCAGTTATTTAATCAAATGTTAATCTAAGTGATGCTGTGAAGGGATTCTTCAGATATGACTGAAGTCTCTAATCAGTTGATTTTAAGGAAATCAAAAAGGAAATTATTCTCAGTGGGCCTGACAATTGTTGTAAAGCCTTTGAAACAGGATTTTGACCTTTCCTGAGTACAGAGACTCCCCCTGGTGGCCAGATTGTTCCTCACGCTCTTGGGGTTCCAGTTTGCTTATCGTCCCTTCTTAACTGCTTGCCCTAAGGGCTTCAGATTTATTTCACCAGCCTCTCATAATGTAGATGATTCCTTTTAATAAACAAATACATATATATATATTTAATAAACAAATATATAAATATAAATATAAGTATAAATATAAATATAAATATATATATATTCATCTTAGGGCAGAGGTTCCTGCAGGGTTGGCTGAGAACTAAATTATGTTATATTTTCTCTTACTTCCACCCCCTGCTTCCTTTACTCCCTTAGAGGTGTTAGTCCTGCAAGGACTCCTTAACAAACCTCCTGCAAGAAAATTTCTGCCTTGGTCTGTTTCTGAAAGAACCCCAAACAAGAACCCTCCAAATTTAGAGGTAGAAGAATTGAACCTATAAGAGATGCTGAGAAGGAAGGGAAGCCAAGGAGGAAGAAGGAAAACCGTAAGTGGATTACCTCCCAGAAACCACAAGAAAAGCATTAAAGAAGAGAGCAATACGAAGTTTATAATGGTGCCCAGGGATCAAGCAAATGCGTAACAAAATGTCATCTGATTTGTCAACACAGAGACCATCAGCGATCTTGGTAAGAAAATTTTCATGGAGAGATAGGGACAGAAGACAGATTGGGGTGGGTTGAGTAGTAAATAGGGGACAAAGAGATAGAGAGCACAAGCTTAAAACAGTTAAGAAGCAGAAATAGGGCGAAAGCTGAGTGGATGGTATCAGTGGAGAGCAATTTTTTTTTAAGATGAGCGTGACTAAATGCTGACGTGTTAAGGATCCTACAGAGTGGGACGTGATGAAGATGCAAGAAAGAAAAAGCGGAAAACCAGTGAAGCCAAGGCCCCGGGAAGTTCAGAAGGATTGTGATACCAAAATTACAGAGCGATGGGACAGGAAGGACACTTATATGGAAGTAGCAGGGAATCAAAGAAGATGAGTAAAACTGAAACATAAGAAGTTTATAGATTTTTCTAGCAGAAAAGTAGATTTCCTATTTGGCAGTTTCACATATTTATTCACAAAGTTCAACATTGCAATGTTATCAATAGTCCCTAATCCACATGTGCATGTATGTTTATTTATATACATCTGCACCTGCATATATACACAAACACACATATATACCTGCTATATGTAACTGTATATATAGCTGTATCTATATTTCTATCTGTACCAAAGGACTTTATACCTTAATAAACTGGCAAAACAGTAGAATAACAAGAACACTAATGAACTAATGTTGTCACAACTGCTAAGGAGGAATTCGGTTTTGTGATTTTATAGCTACATTTATCTCTCTTCAGCTGCTCTGAATTTCTTGATTTGAGTTAGGCCAGAGGGCAGCAACCTTTTTCAATGAAGATTCATGAAAGGAAGCAATGCTTGAAGCAGCAGTTAAGGTCTTGAGTTCCTCTCGGAGGGAACTGCACCCCTTCCTCCTCCTTCTAGGCTCTCCACCTGCACATCTTCTTCTGCCTTCCTTTGGATCTCTTATTTGTGGACTCCATCTCTGCATTTTTAAATCTACGCAACTCTTCTCAAAAGCACTGTGGCAATTCGTTACAAAAGCCACACAAATATTCATATGCTTTGACCCAGAGATTCTACTCCTGGAAAATAATTCAAGTGAAATCAGATGCCAAGTGCACCAAGATATTTGTTACAGCACTAAAAAGAATTTAAAAGCTAGATGAAACCTAAATGTTCAGTAACAAGTTTAAGTTACGACATCTCAACATAATTGAAAAAACAATGACATTGATAATCATGAATCATGCAAGAAGAAATGGATTCAAATCCCAGCTAAATTACCTAAACTACAGAACATCTGAGAATAGACAAGGTCCATCTCCCATTTAAGCCACAGTCTCCTCATTTAAAAACACGAATAACACTTATACTGATAACATGAAGGTTAAAGATCAATTAACATATATGAAATGTTTAGCACAGTTCTTAGAACATCATAATCACTCACTACATTTAACATCTTTGCTTTTATTTTTAAATAAGGAATTAGAAATCACCATAATAATGACTATGAGACGTGCAAGAATTGGTAGATTAACATGAAGTTACAAGAATAAATTCTTACACTGCTATTAAAAGAACTCATAAAACAATTAGGTAACACATGGGCTATATCGAGTTTTAATAAGGCTTTTATTTAAAAGAACATTCTTAAAGTATTCCTATACAGTTCAAAATAGCTGAAGGATTTGAAAGCCCTTAAGACCTCCAAAGGCAATTTTATATTCATTATATTGTACAAACCGGCAAATGCTTTTGAAAATCAGCAACATAAAGTTAAAAAAGAAAAAAAATGCATTTTAGCAGCTTTCAGAAAGAGTCTAATCAGAAGGTGAGTGGACTTTTGTTCTACTGACATGCCCTTCAAAATAGCACAAGCTCACAATAGGTGGCCCCAGTGAGGCCTTTTTTGATGATGACAAAGAAAACTGTTCCTACAGATCAAAGCCCATATAAACAAGGAAAAGGCTATTTAAAAACACTCCCAATCAGTGCCAGTTGTCAGCCTGCTAGAGACACTGGTTGAAATGACTTGTACCCATCACATATTTATTTCTACAGATGGAGAATTATAGAATTGACTTGTTGGAAAGGTCGGGTGCTAAAAATACTCTTTAAAAATAAAATAAAACAGAAAGAGGAACAAAAAGAGCGGCAGCAGCTTATTTTTTTCTCTGTAACAAAATGTGACTTAACAATGTAGCAATGGAAATAGAGCAGAGCCGAAAACAGCAATTGATAAAATTCACACTATAAAACAATGCCACAGAATATAATGTTGATTAGAATTTAATGAAACTGCCAAGTATCTTGAAATATCATCCATGCAATTTTGGCACCTTATTGAGAAAAGCATGGAACCAACGTGGTGGTGGTTTTATCACAGATGTTGCTGCCACACAAGTGCATGACTTGAGCCTCTGGAGAAACAAAATGTTATTCTGTGTTGAAGTTCAGCGATAAAGGGAGGAATTGCCTTGTGATAAGGAAGAGGATGACTTTCTACAGATCCCTTGGGTAGACTTTTGTTCCTGATGCTTTGTAGAAATGATTTAAAATACCACCTGGACTCCGGGACATAGGAAACAAACTATGGTTACCAAAAGGGAAAGGGCGGGGGAGGGATAAATCAGAGTTTGGGATTAACAGATACTACTATCTATGAAATAGATAAACAACAAGGATCTACTGTATAGCACAGGGAACTATATTCAATTTCTTGTAATAAGCTATAATGGAAAAGAATCTGGAAAAAAATATGTATGTGTGTGTATAACTGAATAGCTTTGCTGTACACCTGAAACTAACATAGTAAAGCAACTACATTTCAATAAAAAATAAAATAAAATAAATGCCATCTGGACTGAAACTGTAACTTCAAACAAGAAAAAAAAAAAACCCTAAGTAACTGTTTACATTCTGAGATCAGATTAAAGGCAACCACAATCACCGTTACTGCTTCTCCAGAATCCTTTTCAGACTTATCCAAATTTCTTTTCCCACTCCTTGCTCTCAGTTTTACTAGTCTACTCCCAACTAAATTGAATCCAGTCCTCAAATGCCATTGCTAAATTATTTTAAATCTTGTATTTCTGGTTATGTACCAAGTGGAGGATATAATCCCTAGTATTTGCCCTCTGATTCCACAGACCTCCTCTGTGTCAATGAACATGTTGCTCCCCATCCCTTGCCTGACTTTTTCCCTCTAGGATCAGAAATTAGATAAGCCAGCAACTGATGTCTGATCACTAAAAGGGGTTGAAAGATGAATGTTGCCCTGTAACTGAATTTATTAGCTATTAGTAATCTCTGAGAGTTGATGACATGACTTCAGCAAGAATTGCAAATTCTCATTTGTCCCAGATGACAGCCAAAATCACTCGACCAATGCATACAATAGGGTGATGTTTACTTTTCTTTGAAATTCAAACGGGGACTAAGCAAAATGTAATCATTTAAGATTACGTGGTCTTGATTTTAGGTCTTTTCCAGATAAAGGCATTTTTAGGAGCTCAAACTTTTTCACGCGGATCATTTCTAGCTGCATTCATAAACAATCTGAACACTACACTCCAGGCCTTATAGGAATTACTGGATATTTTAGTTGAAGTGTACCATACAGGTCAGTGGATTTCCTCTTAAATATCATCCCAGAGATGTGTAAGTTAAGGCAGGCTTCTGGGAGCTTGCATTGAACAAACCTGTCTTAAAAGCATTGACATTATGAGAGAGTGAAAAGACATTGTTTAGAGAGAAGGGTAGAAGTAGAAGTCAGGCGGTCAAACAGAGGTATGTATTTGGAAACGCTGAGCAGATAAATACAAACTAGACATAAAGGAACTAAAGAGACTGGGGATACCAGGACAGAGCAGTTGAGTTTGGGTGAGAGGGAGGAGTTTGGAATCTGGTGAAACACACTGAAATACTGTGGCAGGCTCAGAGAAACTTTTTATAGAGCACGTTTGGCGTTGCTTCTGAGTGGGGCGTTGTTACAAGCCCCGAGACAATTTAAATAGGTATGACTATAGACTGAATACTTAAATTCTCTTTATAGAATGTAAGTCAAATTAGCCATCCAACCTGTATGTGAAGAATTCCAGTGGCAGCCACTTATTATCTTCCATGGATGTCCAAGTGTTGGAAAGCTCTGAGTATTGGACAGTTTTTCCTTTCACTGCACCAAAATGGGTCCCCTATAACTTCCACCCCCTGGTCCTAGTTTTTAATGCTCTACGTTGCCATAATACAAATGGAATATCAATTCAACTATTTTTAGAAATTCAACTAGACCTAAAAATTCAAGTAGCAAGATTATCTAGGCATACTAATTTAAGGTCTTAACAGCCAGGAAAAACAGAAATGTTATTTTACTAGAACTACAGACAGGCTGATATTCACACAGTTGTTCTCTACACTTCAAATGTCTTGTAGCATTTTAAACATTCTCTGATACAGTTTTCTAGGAGATTAAAACAAATTCTTAATAGGATTATTATCACCACCGTCAACGTATTTAACGAGCACATATTGAGACAGGCACTTAGCGGAACTTGCTGCAGGGACGGGCCCCTGTTTTCAGTGACCTTCAGATGTACAGTCAGAACTACGGCAGGAAAGAGCTGGAATCACTCTGGTTTTTTCAGCTACAGCTAGCAGCTGCTCATTACCAAATGGCACCCTTTCCCTGGAAATATGGGCTCGAGGGAAACTGTTCAGGGAATGATCAGAATATAGCAAAGCGAGCACAGGGGCTTCTACCTGAGTTGGAGGAAGGGCACACTCTGTATTAGATTAAAATTCTGAGAATGGTCTTCCCAGAGGAAGGCCAAGGATGTCTGCTGGGACCTCGCCTGGGGCCTTGAACATCACTTGCGGTAGAGCGAGGCCAGGCTTTTTGACCCTACTCCATCGCCTGGTGCTTCTATAAATGGCTCTGGTACAGCAGGCTGTGGTAATCCTCCTTCTCCATGAGGAGTGGCTCCTTTTCTTCAGGAAGCTGCTTTCTCTTTCGACGACATAAACGGCGAGTGAGCCCACCCAGCACAGCCGTGAGGACAGACCCCACCAGGGCTGCCCCGACGAGCCATGGCCAGATCCGGCTTGCTTGTTCTAAGTACGGCTTAATGTAATTTTGAAAAAAGTCCGGGTCTGAAATAGAAAGACATCTCAGTGTTCCTACTATTGTCACTGTCATCATCATCATCATCATCATCATTATCATCATCATCATCCTTAACTAACATCGCACTTTGGAGTCAGGCGCTTGGCCAGGTCTGCTACTTACGAGCTACAAGAGCTTGAGAAAGTTACCGCTAACACTCCTAACACGTCTGCTTCTTCATCAGGGAAATAGGAAAAACAATACCACCTTATTGGGATGTTTTACAGTTTATTGATAATATCTGATCTGTAAGTTGCACACTGCCTGCCCCCAAGTTGGCCACTGTAACTCTGTTGGCTATTTATTCTGGTATTGGCCTCCAATTTCTAAATAACAGGCAAATATCACTCTCTCTCTATTCATCAAGTTTATTTCTGGAGCTCCTCATATATAAGCAATGATTGAAGCTCTCTTACAACTTCCCATTTCTTTCCTGCATCTTTTCAGTATAATACTATATTTGGGGTCAAATCCACATCTAAGATTTTTATTATTTTTTAATGGAGGTACTGGGGATTGAACCTCCAGGACTCGTGCATGCTAAGCACATGCTCTACCACTGAGCTATACCCTCCTCGCCTCATGTTTTTAGTATTTAAATATTATTCATAATTGAACCAAATATTATTCTATAATTACATTTCCTTTCTTAAATTATTTTCCCCTTGGAGCTAATAATTTATTACATCCATTTGCTTGATTTTAATGTGCCCATCACTATCTATGAGACATTCTAAGATACTCTATATCCATTTTGTGATACAAAGGAAAGAAGAGAGTGCATCTTGGGTTTACCTTGCAGAAAATTGGGGCGGTGACTTAAGTTACTGTTTTTAACACATTTAAAAATCATTTTGAAAATGAGACTACAAATGCCTAGTTTACATTGCTATTAGTCACTTCAATGTATAGTACACTTAAGTTGTCTGGCAAAACGCAGATTACATAGAGGTTCCATAGTACAAACGATTTTCTTATTGCTTAAGGCTCAGCTCAAGTGCTTTCACAAGTTTTAAATACTATGTCTATGTCTGTCCTTCCGTTCTGCAGCATCTCTTACAATTTATCCACTTCAGTTTGTTTCAAGTGGTCTCAATTTTTACTGTCACGAATAGACTGTCTCCTTTGAAACACTCTTCATATTTCTCAATGGCTTCACCCTAAAATTTAGGCTTTTCTTTCTCAGTTATTTGGTTTTCAGCCTCAGTAGTGTACCTTCAAGTTATTTCTTAACATCGTAAGTTTTCTACCATCTTTACCTACTTAGAATCCCAGTGTTTCTTGTTGCCCATCCTCTTCAGAACGACCATGTAGTTTTCTGTTTGTTTTGTTCTCTGTCATTTCCAAAGCACATTCACATGCCTATTTGTCCACCCAACAAATGCAGGAGGTGGTTCAAAATCATTATCCTAATTTAATGAATTAGAAATCTGTAACTTAGAAAGGTTGCCTGTAATACTTAAACCCTACAATGTATGTATAACCCCTGGTATGATGCCTTGCAATTTATAACTGTTGCTGATTCTTGTTATTCTGCAATAATCCCATCAATATTTCAACTGAACCAGCTTCCAGTGAGAGATTTTCTCTCTCAAACCTGCTTCGATCACTGATTCAGCTCAGCTTTCTCTTCTGGATTTTTAGACTCTCTCTTTCTTTACTCCTTTGTGACACTTAGCACAGTTGTCTCTGTGTTGTAATTATTTCTATGTATGCCATATTTTTCAGGCGTGATCACAAACCCTTGAGAGCGAGTATCATGTTTACCTTTCGTCCTCCTATTCATTCACTTATGCATCCATACGGCAGTGTTTACTGCGGCCCATCACATGCCAGAAGGTGGTCCAGGCACTGCGTATGAAAGGCTGAGTAAGCAGAGCCCCTGGCCTGAGGGAAGCAATAGTGGAAGAGGAGAATGATAGGAAAACAAGTCACAGTAAGGAATGCCGTTCTAACGAAAGTATGTGAAAGATACAATGGGATCAAGGGGGGAAGACCTCCTCCATCTGTCTGGGGAAGGCATCCCAGGAGACTGTCCCACTGACTAAAAGAATGAGCTAAAACTTGAGTGTGGGATGCTGATGGCAAGCCATCCCAGGCAGAAGGAACAGGAATGCACCTGCTTATACACATAGGCGGGTGAACAAATCTGTGAAGTTCCCATCAAACCCCATGTGCAGAATAAGACACTTCAGTTACTGTGAAAATGACTCCTCATTTTTAAAATCAAATGTCCAGATCTTTCGAAATATATTAGAAGAAGGAAGCTCTTAACAAAACAGTACCATATAGAAAGCAGAATCCCATTTTCCAGCAGCATCAAGGACTCAATCTTTCATTACCAAAGCTTTTTGGTCTCTCCTTTTAAATAGCTTTGTGTACAACAAAATCACTTGCTACTCAATTTTTAAAAGCATCACTAAATTCAATTCTAAGAGAAATGTTTGACTAAAGCGAGAAGACATCAGCTGCCTTTTATGGAAAACACAAGTAATTATAAACATGAGTGCCTAAATGATGAGCAATTAACTACTTGAACCAAATAATGTCAAGAAATTTTAAAGAATTTTTTAGTAAGCTTCAATCTTACCAATGAATAAAAATTTATCTTTTTTTCAAGTAAACTCCTTGAAGGTACAACAGAAGAAGCTATAGAATAATTCATAAATTAGAAAAAAATAGGCAATTGCTGCTGCTTATTTTAAAGTAAAATGTCTCTAAAATTAACGGCGTAGATCCACAGCTGAATGAGAACTACTCTAAATAGATACAACACTTCAAATCGATTTTATTTTTTAAAATTTAACTAGACTACATAACAAATACCTTCCAGACCCTATTGTGACTCTTTGGGCTTCCCCTCCCTTCTCCCTTCTAATGGTTTTTGTTGCCTTTTCAGTAAAAAGGACGCATTTGGACACTAGGGAAGGAACAATGAGGTGGAACCTATGTGGAAGGACAGAGAGGTATAAAGGCAACCCTCTCTTCTGTGCAGTGATGGAGAGAGAATTCGTTGGGGATTCAATATTTGCCACTTACGAGCTTTGTGACTTAGAATTTGTCACTTTATCTGTCGGCTCTCAATCTACTTACCCATGAAACAGAATAAAAACCACTACTATTGTAAAGATGGGCAAAGATGACAGTCGATGTGCTGATGTCTCGCACACTGCGATGTCTCTGCAGGCCAGACTCTCCTCTGTGGTCAGGGCTGTTCAACTGCCTCAGAGACACACCCACCCTGGAGTCCCACATTGCCCCCTTTCACTGTGTCACAGACACCACCTCGGCGTTCCCTCCACGTCCGACCCTGCTCCTGTTGCTACTATCTCAGTGAATCCGATCACCATTCATCATTTCCACAGGCCAGAAGCTTCAAGGTATCTCTAATATCTCCTTCTTTCTCACCTAATATATAAATCACTTCTCAAGTTCTGTAAATTGTATCTACACAATGATCTCAAATTCTTTGGCCCTTTCCACATTGCCTCCTGCCACCACCACTGCGATTCAGACTTCCTTGCCTCTCCCTGGGATGTCTGCAACAACATTTCCACTGGTCTCCCTGGAGGTGCTTTGCAGCCGCTACAAAACTTCCTATAGGCTGCAGCAACCGCAACCTTATAAAAACTCAAACTTGACTCTGATCTGTTTAAAATCCATTAATGGCTCTGTTATTCTAGCAATAGGGCCAACATCCATAATCAAGACCTGCTTTTCCACTAATTAATTCTTCCCGTCATGCTGATGCTCTCTGAAATGTCACTTCATCAACCCCTAGAGATAGACACGTCTCTAAGTAAATGAGTCGTTAGGTAAGTAGTCGTGTAAGGTCTTTCTCTTTTATTAGGATATAAACTCTGAAGATAAAGACTATGTTGTTTACCATCAAATCCATAGTACCTAAGAGAATGATTTGTACAAGGTAGACATTAAATATATGTATGAAGAAAGAATAAATAAACCAATCAAACACTAGAAAATACCTAGTGTGATAGAAGACTTGAAATGCATTAAAAAATATCTAAAAATGACCTTGGTATTAAAAGGGGTGACATTTTTTCCAGTAAGCTTTACCTACATGGATTGGTTAAGAGATACCATCCTTCATGGTAAATATCACTTCCATTCAAGTTAATTCATTGATTTCACCACGTTCCAGATACCATTTGGTACTTAGCCTGGAGAAGCTTGCAAGATATCAATTCCGATTTTGTAGGGCTCACAGCCAAGATAGAGAGGGGAAAGACTCAATATATAGAAAGAGTACCATGTAACTCATATGAGGAAGTGAGTAAACATGACTATGGATTTGTCTAAAAATGATTTCATATCTGAGAGTGTGGCAAATGGATAAATAGGGTCAGAATTTAGCCAGAGAGAGTAGCTCCGTCAGAAACAGCAGCCTATGAAAGAGTCTATTATGTTCTTGAAATGGAAATCATAAAACTCGAGTGGTGAATTTTTGAAAAGTCGTTACCAATATGCCCCTTTCTTTACATTCTGTGGGTGGGTTTAGAAGGAAGGGGAAATGTTACTTGAGGCCACTTCTCATTTTGACTCATGGGAAGCCCCTGCCCTAACCACACGCCCACCCGCCGCCACATTCCCTGTTCTCAGTGATCTCTATGTTTTCAAGGCCACTTTAGCATTCCTTCCACTGGCTGTGATCTTCAGATAGAGCAAAACAGGTCAGTCAAACCAGTATCTGTCCAACTAATGCTTTCCCAAAGGGCAAGGAAAGGTTGATAAAATACAGGTTCTCCTGTTGGCCTTAAAATGAGGTTCTGCTCTGCCACGTACTAGCCAGATGGCCTGCGACAAGTTATTTATATTCTTTAAGCCACTTTTTTCTCATCTATGGTCAGGAAAAAGAAAGAACAGTGGCCACTTCACAGGGTAGTTATGAAGAGGAAAGGAAATAATGCCCAAAGCACACCTGGAAGAGTTCCTGGCACCTAAGAATATTCATTGTGTGCCAGCTGTTATGAAATAACTCAACTCATCTCCTCAGTGCAGTTTTCCGTTGCTCCAACTAGGAGAATTTACCATCCTGGAAATACCTCTATTTTTTTGTTGTTGTTGTTATTCTATTAGTTTAGAATTTTCCCTGTCCTTCTGTACCTGCCACCTGCCTGCTTGTTCTTCAAGGCCTTGTCTTATCTTTCTAGGTTGAAATACTCGGAAATCACTGCTACCTCTTCTGTGCTCCTGTCGGATTCCGTTTAAGACTCATTTACTGCACTCAACACAGCCTGATGTTTCAGGCTTTCTTGCACAACTGTCTGACTTCCACACTGAATTCTGAGCTCCTCCAAGGTCTGGGACTATGTCAGTCATTTATGTGTCACTAAAGTCTAGCGCAAGAGGTAGGAAGTTGGTAAATGCCATTCGTTTGTCCATTTTGTTTTACTAATCTGTTCCCACGAATTAGCAATGAATATAATGAAGCATCAGTGTTTGCTGAATTCCTCTTATCCACAAGCTGTGTGTTGTTTTACTGGCTTTTAGTTGCTGACCATCTTGTGTTACAGTGGAGAGGACCCCGTAGTGTCAAAATCTGGCTTTTCCACATACTGGTGTTTGACACTGGGGAAGCCTCAATTATTATTTCAGCATCAGTGTCCTCATCTCATCCTAGGGATCATAATACTTACCTAATATATGGTTGATTAATAATGCAGGTATGTGTATATATGCAGGGCTGGGACATTATGCTGCACACCAGAAATTGACACATTGTAACTGACTGTACTTCAATATAAATAAATAAATAAGAATAATCAAAGGAGAGAACGGAATAAAAAAAAAATGCACGTATGGTATGTAGCTGGCTCTCCAGTAGGAGGAGACATTACTATCTGTTCCTCATTTATCGAGAAGGTACTGCCGGTTCTACTCAGGGGGATTATGTAAAGCCCAGATCTAATTGCAGTCCTAGAGTTTTATGTCAGCACCTTAATCAGAGTCATAGCAATTATCATTGTAATTATCAATTGGATTTAACATCAAAATGTTGACCAACTCTTTTGGTGACCCTAGCAGGAAATTCCCAAAGACGATTCCAAACCTGCTAGGTGTTTACCGCGTGCCATGCTGCACCAGGCTTGTTAACACAAAACATCCATTTAATTACCACAATATCTCTTTGAGGTATCCTGTTCTCAATATTTTAGGTTTAGAAACTGAGATTCAGGGACTTGAAGTAAAATCTCCCAAGGTTGCCCAGAAGTCAATTTATAGAGTCATGAGTAAAACCCATTTTGTTTTTATGATTTTAATTCCAGTGCTCTTCCCACAGTTGCCATATACGAAATGCCATCTCTTAAGCAGGATGAATGTGAAAAGATTCTTGCAACTTGGATCATGTAGTTATAAACCAGTGATGAGTTAAGGATTGTAATGCACTTTCCCCACTTAAAGAATTTGGGGATAACATTGTAAAAACATAAGGTTTTGTGCTCTCTTGAAAGAAACTGGTCACACTAGACTCAGCAATTCACAGGAAAGAAACGGAGCTTTACCTGAATCTTGTAGGTAGCTATAGTCATAGCCCAGATCTCTGGATGAAATAAAGAAATCACCATTTCTGTAGAGAGGTATAAAAGGAACCATGTAGGATTCCCGGTTGTGCCCAATGGGTGCATTGGCTTCAGGATAAACTTCTTGAAGAGGATGGTGCCTTCGAAGCCATTGTTCAAAAATACTGCAGAGGAAAGGATTATTCAGAGTCAGAAACATCATTTGTAAAAGAAATATTTAGAGTTCTTGAAGTAAAATAACAAGGCATATCTTAAAATCTCAAGCCCTGGACAGATGCCAAATACAGTTTTCATGCTTTGAAAATATTTTGGAAAGCGCCAGTTCACGCTGTCAGGCCTTGATGAAGCTCACTCATTTGTGAGAAATATTAGAGGATAACTTTGAAAAAGGAATTTCTTAGAAGATAAGTGAAACTGACATGACAAGTTTAGACCCTTCAGAATGCCGCAGAGCAAGTGTAATTATTGGTTGAGTGACAATTGAGTCATAGTCATAAATAAAATATGTTTCTTATCTCAAAAGAAGTTCGCCCAAAGAAAGAACATACAAAACTAAATTGGAATCAGTACTGGAATTTGGCCATTTTTTTTTTGTTATGGTAGGAGACTTTCAGTCATTTCAACCTCCTTGTTATGTTTGGTGAAGTGTATGTGTAATGAATCTTCGTGGGAGAAAGAGCCCATCTTCCATGGTGGAGGCAAAAAAAAAAAAAAAGTGGCTTCCCAACTTCCTCAAAAGCTAGAGTATGACCATATGGTCAATACTCAGACAATCAGTCATACCCATCCAAGACCTGGAAGCAGGAGACAGTGACACAAAGAAGCAAGGACAATGTAAAACCATCCTAGCAGTGGCAATGGCATTGTGCTAAGAACATCCAGTTTTTAAGGGCAGCCAGGCCAGAAGTGCCAGTAAAGGTATCCACTATACAGGGAAGCGGGGCGGGGGGGTGTGCAGGGCTGTGTTCTGTAGCATGGTTTTGGAAAATGATTTGGCTGCTGCCTTCCTCCCTTGTTCCCACTTGTTTCTCAATCTGCTTTTCCATGATCTTCTGACCTACCCAATATCTTCTCAGTAACAATTTTTTTTCCCGTTTAAATCAGCCAGAGTTAGTTTCTGTTGTATGCAATTAAAAGCTCTGACTGGAACAAAACCTAAAAAAACGAAGGGATCAAAAATTCCAGTAAGAATGGAAGTGAGACTAAGCCAGAGCAGAGTTTATAGTGGAAAATGAAAGGTGTGACAAAGAGAATAGCTTTGAATGATCAGAACATACAACTGACATAGAGGGAAGAACCCTAGACTGGAGTCAGAGAACTCGCCTCGAGTCCGAGCCCTGTGAGTTAAGCGTCTACGCAAGTCACTGAACCTCTTGAAGACTTAGCCATCTCATCCTTAAAATGAAAGCAAGGATATCTGCCCTGTCCATCTCCAAAGGGATTATCCAAGGTGATACTTGTTATGAAAGTGCTAAACAAATGAGCTGTTGCTGCTTCACTCTAGAAGTTAAGCTGGAGGTAAAAGGTAGTGCAACATTGAGAGGGTGGTGTCTAAAAAAGAAAGTGATAATCTTTCAAACAAACGAATAATGCTTTTGAAAAACACTTTGAAGTATAATAAAGAAGAGAACAAGGAAGCCACATGGCAGCAGTGGTGAGCACATTTTCCATGATGAAAAACAGTTCTATTTGCTTAGTGAATCTCGACTTCAAATACTACTTACTGTAAAAGTTGTTTTTCATTGTGAATTAACTGAGGGATCAGCAGGGTGCAGATAAACACTGCAGATCTGGTCCATGAATACCAAATGCTCCCTAAATAGCTCAATTATTAAGTACATTTACTGAGTACTTACTATTTGTCAAGTTTTGGAGAAACGTAAACCTGTATAAAAACCCAAGTTCTGTGGGTTGTGACAAGGGAAATACGTGAAATCTCCTAACCTGTTTACTTCTCCTTTTTTCCATCTGCAAAGTGGGAGTGATCCTTATGTCCTGAGGGTATTGTAAGGATTAACTGAAATAACATCAAGTAAGGTATACGGCTACGTGCGGTAGACACATGGTGAGCAAAAGCTATCATCATCCCGGTAACATTTCTTCCTCTTGCTCCTTCTCCTAATGATTCATGTCATACTGGAAGAACTTTATCATTGGGAGACGTGAGACAGGCTATAATAGAAACACCAAAGCCATGTATATGTGAGCTCGGTCTTTAAAAACAGTTATTATTCTTTAAGCAGAAATGGGATAACAGAGGATTCAAGAAGATCGGTTTTCCTGTGTGTACCTCCATTTCCTCAAATGAAGATTTTAGGATTGGCTTAACAAATAAGCCCCAAATTCTATTCAAGATCTGTAATTTTATGAATTAGTCTTTTTATTTAAAATTTTTTTAATTTAAAAAATTTTAATATTTAATATATTTTAAAAAATTCTTATTTATTTTAACTTCTACAGTTATCTTCTTTTCATGAAGTATTGCTTGTTCATTATATATAATTCAGAAAATGTAAACAAGCAAAAAAGAGATAAGAAAAAAATCACATGCTCCTTATTTTTGTTAGTTTTTTAAAATATGTATATATTTCATTACATATATATTTTAACAAAAAAATCTGTATTATACACAGTATTTTATAAGACATTTTATTTTTACTAAGCAATGTTTAAACAACATTTAAACAGGTTTAAACAATGTTTACCAGTTTTCAAGTGGTGAATCTATTTTTTTAATGAGAAGGAGGCCCTCTGATAATTAATCTCTCCCCCATCCGTGTTAAACTTTGACTGATTTAGAAAGAGCCCAATATCCAATGAGCTACTAGATGGAAGCTTGAGGCAAAAATTGTGCCCTTTGTCAATTGAGAAAAATTACTGCTACAGTTCAATTTATAAATAATCTTGTTTCTGCCAAGAAATAAAATTTTTTTTTTACCTAGGTGGGACAAGGACATAAATTCTTAGCACCAAAAGATATAATAGATGAAACCATTAATGTGCTCACCCACCTTTTCAACCTTTTAAAATGAAGATATTAATCTTGCTTAAATTCTTCATCTGTGGTTCTCATCTTCAGTTAATCTCATCAAACCATGCCTAGAATGGCTCACGTCGGAATACTAACGTTTAACTTGGGTAATCACACTGACATTTTGGGAAGAAAATTATCCTCTTACCAAAGATTCATTTCAACTGCATCTAGACGGCTTTCTGGAAGGCTGAGAACAATGAGATGCACAATAAAGGGTTTAGGAAAAGGTTAAGATGAGCGCAGACGGAAGCAAGAAGAGATGTGTTTCATACATAAAAGCAACATGGAAGTCTGGTCACTCCCATCCTTACAACAAGACAAAGCTGGAGAAATGGAAAATCACCAACTTTTCTTGGACCTGTGAGAAAACAGAGGTCACAGTGTTCCAGAAACGACAGGCCAGCCAAGAAACAAGCACCACTCGGAGGGTTGGAGTACTCAGATGTATTAAGCCGGCGGGCTCAGAGGGGCTTCTGCTCCGAAGCTCTGAGCACCTCCAAGACGTGCACATGAGGTTTTATAGGGTATAGTACAAGCTTGGGGTATTCGGCCAATAGGCATGGAACAACTTTAGCAGCATCATTATCACAAAAGTGGAGGCGGGGTGGCAGCAAACCAACATTCCAAAGCCAGATATGTATCTTTGAAAATCCAGTTGGCTAGCCAAAAAAACATAAACAGCAAACCAACACTAATTAACTTAGATTTACAAGTTAGTCCAGCAGAACTCAGATCAGTATTCCAATACTTAGAC